CGCAAGGAAATATTAATTTATTTAATTTATAAAATATTGATCTTTTTCCATATAAAATAGTTTTTTTGTTTTGTTTTTTTTTTCAAATAATAAGTACGGCTTTGGCCAAGTCTGGTTGAACGACACTTTTATCTTAGTAACTTTTATCTTTATAATTCCCAAATCCAAGAAAAATGATATTTTTATAATTACAGACATGAAAGGTGACAATTTGGTGAATCTAATAGGTACTTTTTACGCTGGCTTCGAAACAGGTTCTAACTGCGTTTCTTTTGCGCTTATGAAGCTGGCATCTCACCCTGAGTATCAAGACAAGGCACGTGAGGACATAGAACGTGCAATCAAGGAGCACGGCTTGACCTACAGTGGATTTAACGACATGAAATACTTAGATCAGTGTATATACGAAACTATAAGAATATATCCACCTGTGCCAACTGTTGATCGCCGAACCAAAGAAGACTACAAGGTTAGAGCTCCTTTTGTATAATAAATATTTAAAAAATTTGTTGGGAATCCATAATAATTAAACATGAGACAGAAGTTCAAAACAAAATGTTTTACATGCAATAGAAATGATAATAGCCAACAATTATAGCATCATAAAGTAATAAAAAAAATCTATCCTTTAATGACAAAATAATTTCTATTCTTTGTAACATGCATTTATATTTACACTTTTATTTTTACTTCAACCATTTGTTATCTCATAAAATCACACAGCCCTATTTGAGTGGCTGAGAATTTAGATACTCCCTACATCTGCTTCGGATCGAAATTTCTCTTAAAGTCAGGGAATATCGTATGTCTTTTTGTATTCAAGAGAAAAGTCTTAGAATAAGTGAAAAAAGTGTATATGTATATAGTATTTTCTATAAGAGTGCGTAATCCACCATTACAATGGATACAGTGAGTGAGTATGATGCTTTTGCAAATCCATTTCCAAACGCTATTTATATTTGCAGATTCCTGGTACTGGTGTTACCATACAAAAAGGAACTCCGATTTTCGTCTCACTCTATGGCATGCATTTGGATCCACGATTCTTTAAGCAACCGGAGATTTACGATCCAAGCAGATTCGCTGGTGGCCAAACAGTATCTGATGCTTTCCTTCCATTTGGATTAGGTCCCAGAATGTGTCCCGGTACGTATAAACTTATATGTGATTGGTTTTAAATGAGCATGATTGGTCGATGTCAAATGTCAGCTGCACGAGAAATAACATACTTATCTGTATCGAATTGGAGCTGAGTGATTATCTTTTCTTAAAATCAGCTTCAAATGGGGTCTTGGCAGTTATCTGTGTCGAATTGGGGCTGATTCACTATGGTGGTTTCTAACTTACTGTCAAATTCGACTTGTCCAATATTTTTCTGTCACACTTTATCGACGCTTCAGATTGGCAAATTTATTTTTATATTAACATGTTTCAAAAAAATTTCAAATTGTCATTATTAATGATAAATTTCAGCGTCACAAATGAAAAACTTAACGCTGCACTTTGTTGCACAAGTAACTAACATTAAACTCAATTGTAGTAAAATAAATATTGTGGAACAAACGGTACATGTCTGTTTGGAGTCTGGGTAACTTGATGACTGAGCAATAAATGCTCATCGATTGTAGGAAAGTCATGATGTAGTTATAGATATATTATTATAGGTCATTGGCCGAGTGAATACTTCACAGCTTATCAAGTGTTTACTCTTTCGAGTTACGATCCAAAGGATACATATAGGCAAGCAAATTAATATTAAGATTAATAAAATAAACGTAATGTACAACCTGCATTTTTTCTAAGATAACTTTCCAAGTCAGTGTATAAGCATGTGATCATATAGTTGGATGACATTTGATTCTGTTTGGAATAAAATTTTCACTCAGTTTTGAAATGTTTCGAATGTCTTTTTGTTGTAAAGTAGCTTATTACTAGGGTAATATTTTTTAGTATAAATTAGGATGGAAAAGCTATAGACGAGTGATGACTGTGATGGTTGATTTGAACGGTTTTTTTGTTGTTTAAGGACCTTCTATAGGTAATAGGTTTAATATTGAAGGATCGAAAAACAAACTCAAGGACATTGCAACTGAATCATTATAAAACTATAATTGAATTTTGGTAATGCTTCATTGCGAGAGAGTTGATAAACTAATATTTATATTTTATCAAGTTTCTGCCAACCTACCGTGTAACCTTATGATTATGTGTAACCAAACTAGAGATCTCTGCGATGATTTTAACAGCAGGGGTGGAATGCGATTAAAGTAAGAGTAGTGCTGGATTTCTAAAATTTTAAATAATCAAGTAACTGTGCTGTATAAATATTTTAAAAACTTATTACTTAATTAAAAATCAATTTAAAAAATACGGCACTACTCCAACCTAAATTTTTATGATATCGAAACCAACCTGTTGTCAGTGCTTATAGATGTATTATATTCATAAATTAATTATATTCATAACCATTAATTATATTCATAAGGTATTTTTGAAATATTATTCAGTGATTATTATTTTTTCTTGCAGGTGTGAAGCTAGGCATGCTTTACTCCAAAGTAATTTTGGCAATGATTTTACGAGAATACATCGTCACACAGAATCCAGGACAAAAAGTAGTCTTAGATTCTCGATCTACACTGACAGTGGCAGCAGGATCAATAACTCTGCAATTCAAAAAAATTTATTAAGACTACTTGATTCAATCTACTCAAGTGCTGTAGATTAAACACAAATTGTACCAGAAGTAGATAATATTTCCGTTAAATAGAACTTTGTTTTTAATTTAATGTCAATATCTAAAGAAACTTGATCAAGTGTCTTCCCCGTGCAGGCACACTCCAAAGTCACATAAATACTATGTAATAATGTATTCAAAATAATTTCTTTCAACTTGGATAAAATTTTGACGTATAAAACATAATGATAAATAAATTATCATGAAAAAATGCTTTTGATATAATTATCTGCTAGATGGTTGGAATCTGAACTAAAAAAATTTACACATATTTACATGTTTTTTGTCATTTTCAAATTTACACGTTTGATTTTATCATGTATTGTGTTTTGCCACGAAAACATATTTACGTTGTTATTTGTTAGTAAAAAATTATTTGTAAACTCATGCAACTGTGCTTCTATATTTTCAGTGTAGAGATTGTGAAGAAATAGTCTCTTGTTTTATGGAAAAATAAATTAGAAAAAAGCTATTCATTACATAAATATTTGAGAGAAAGATTGAAACAAAGGATCGTCTTCGTTGTCTGTGATAGGCTTAGTGCAACTTGCCGCAGATGGCCGTGGAAATAAGTGAGTCTGCATATATCGTCTCGGAAGCTTGGCTAATTTGTTTAACCGTTGACTGATGGTTGGGTGGGAGATCATTGCAGGGAGTAACTTTGTCGAGCGTGGATGTGGTAGTTGAGCTATGGATGGTATCGGGAACGTGAACGCGGAAGTATTTAGGCAAAGTATGGTAAGCCTGGTATTACTATTCCCTTTGAAGTTACGATTTTTCTGAACACACAATCAGAAGTTTTCAATGTTTGAATTTTATGAATATTTTTATTTTGCATCTTAAATTTTTTCTAATAATTTTTAATGAGGTTTTTTCTATCAATGTTTCGATAACTTATTAATCCTTTTGTTTTTCGATCCCACTGTTTTAATTTGGCATACAATTGTATTAATCTACATATAATATTTCTTTTCTATTAAAATTTTTTAGATTTAATGTAATGATTGTAATAATTTTAATCATGTATTTATCATTTTTTTCAATGTTGTAAAGCCTAGCTACGAGCCTTATATTAGAAATTTCTGTTGTTTAAATAAATTCAAGTTTTATGATTATTCAAAAGAACTTATTTTTCAACAACCATTTAAGGATAAATACTTATTAATGAAACTCCCAAATTAAGTCTTATTTAATTCTTAGTTTTTTATATGCATAATTTTTTTTCGTACTATAAATTTACATGTAATTAGGTGTCTAAATTTTCGCAAACTAAAAGAAAAAAAAAAATNAGATGAATTTATTATTTCATATCAATTGAAAAAAAATTCTTACAATGGCTTGGACATGTATTGCTTCTATTCCGCTCCCAAAAGGAATGACCACTCACAGAACTTTCGTGCCAAATACCAATGCACTGAACTTTGAGGTTACCATACGTATTGGCACGAAGTTTGCATGTACTAACAAGGTATACACTGAAAAATACGGCACATGAAAGCAGAAACTTCAAGCTTACGCACATGGTAAGCCAAATCCATCAAAGGTGGCACTTTATTTGACGGTGCAAATATTTTTTCGTGTACAATAAAAACAGGTTTTTGAATGTGTTTGTAAGCAAAGTACGGGTACACATGATAAATTTCCTTATCCTTTAAATAAAACAATGTATCCCTACAATATTTTTTACTTTTATTGGCTTATAAAAATAGATCAACTTTTTTTGTGACATTTAAAAAAAAAATTTAACAACTTGCTAATTCTCATTTCATTTTTTATTTTCAAAGCACACTAAGGAAGGTGGAGAAAATATTTTTCTACACAAATTGTTTTTTTTAACTAACAAAATTAGAAAATAATAGAGGTGAAGGTATGTATAAAAACAGAAAAGTTACATGAAAGTAAAAATAAGCGTAGCTGAAGCTGCCTAAAAAATTTTAGATTATTATATTTAAAACTGCACATCTCAATCTGTTTTCTATGAGCTGTTGCCACTTATTAATTATTTTTTACCAATACCTAATAGTTTACCAAAAATAAAATGTTTTTAACAAAAACTAATTGATTCTGTGCAACGACGAATAAAAAAATTTTCATGTAACATCGCATCCGTGAAAACTGCAGCAAGTATTGAGAATCATAAAGTAATACCTCCAAAATGAGGAAATTTTTAAAATTTGAAAATGCACAAATTTATGGACTCTTTATTGAAAACAATGTAGAGTCATCAATAAAAAACACCTTTGAATCCAGAGGCTTAAAAAATTATTGTAACGTACGACATGCAACGCAAATCATACTGACTCTCCCTATTAACAGCGAGGCTACTTTAACAAGAAGGCATCGACAGGTAGGGAACAAGGTAATATAAGGCCCAGCGAGCCTCAAATCGCGACGTTCGGGCATTCGCGCATTCAGGAATTGATTCGCGCTTTCGGCCTTCGGCAGTTGATCGCTATCAAGAGGGTCGGGCGTTACCAAGGGACTCGAGCGTTACCAAATCAATACACCGAGCAATAACTACAGAAGGACTCAAGGAGCCTAGAACGGAACCACATGCGTGACTTTGCCTTATAGATGAGTATTTCGAATAAAAGTGTTTAAGAAAATATATATACTGATCATTCTCGCGAAGCACCTCCTTACCAATATCTTCCCTACGTAACAGTTTTGGTGCTAAGCGTGGGGTCTGGTAAGAGTTAAAATTTTTTTTTCTTTCATTGTACGCGTTTAAAAAAAAATTCCGCAGAGAAGTTAGACAAATGTGTATAATTTCTCAAATGGGTACAGTACATAGTTACTCGGTAAGTATTGAAAATATTAGCTGCAAGTTTTCATGGTGCAAAGATAAGGAAATATCATATAATTTTTTTCCTAGAAACCCAAGTAAAGACATTAAGATTAATTAATTTACATTTTGTGTTTAACTCCATCTGGAAAGTTCAAAAATTTTTAAGTATCTTTTTTACCCTCGAGCTCTTTTAAGTTTTCCGTCATATAATTTGATTAAATTTGTGGATAATTTGTACAACTGTGCAAAGAGAAAGATCACAAAATTTGTTCGATGTTTAATCAACTTAGTCTACATGTGATAAAAATTTTTATTGAATATTAAACAACACAACCAAAGTGTACTGTTGATGTATCTACTAATGCTATCGTACATAACAATAGTTAACTTTCAATCTGAACAGAAAGTCATTTTAAAAATACGATACTAAAAAATTATTTGAAACGACCGAGAGTTTTAAAATACTTTAAAAAAATTATAAAGACAAATGAAGAAGATACATTCATTGTATGTATAATGAGTTACGGATCGTATGATAATGAGTATCCAGATAATGATTATTTTAGATACCTAATTTGCATCCACTTATTTAAATTAAATGATCAGCAAAGATGTAACAAATTAGTAACATCATGTTGTTATACACGTCACTTATTATAAAAAATTATTACGTTTTCTGTGAATGAAAATAATCTTGAATAAGTAACTATTTTTTGAGCTAAATTCACCTTGCCTGCAAGACAATATTAAAAAAAGTTTATTATAATAAACCAAGTTGAATACTTGAGTGTATAAGACTTTGTACTTCAAAATGTCAATACAAATATGTACATTGAAATGATTTTGAAATGTTTTGGAAAGTTTAGAGGACTTTAGATAATTGTAATGAACTAAATGTGTGGACTTGTTTGAAAACATGAACCTACTGTTGTGAGAACAATGCTTTTTTGTCTCATCCATTTTATTTCTAGGTAAAGTCGTAAGATTAATGATGAATTTTTTATTTACTGTCTGCAAATTAAGCCATTTTACTACAGTAAAAGTCTCGAACGCAATCATAAAACCGCGAAACCTTCATTTAGACTACGAATATATTATGCTTGATTCAATACGTTATTATGTTTACCACATCACTATTCTTACATCAATCACTGTCTTTAGCCTTCTTCAATGGATGTGAGTATTGTCTCAATAAGTTTTATGAAATAATTCATGAATGAAATTGTTGCATATCAATATTAAAATGAAGCCGGTTTCTTACAACACAATTTCCTTTTATTGTATTAATTTTTGTAAATATTTCATATACCTTCATAATTTTTTTTCCACATGACTGCAGTAAGCGAACGTTGACGTCATTTCACCGCACATCACGCATTCATCAGTTTTGTTTGTTATTCAGCAGATGATAACTTGCACAAGCATTTTTTTGTCATTGAAAATTATTGAAAGAAAAAAAAGACATAACAAATAAAACTGTACGAAAATTAAAAAAAACCATTATTGCAATTTTCAGAATCTTTGGAATACAATGAGAGTTTACAGCTGCAACTGAATCATACAAAGACGTATCGAAGCTCGAGCGCAAGGAAATAATTAGTTAATAACCTTCACTTCGCCCAGCGCAAAAAAGTAAGTTAATATTAAATTAATTCTTTTAAACACGTTCAGCGATGGATTGCCAAAAAATTTTTTCCTTTTACTTATTGATTTTTTCGTTGTGATTGATTTGTTTATAATATTTTGACAAGTTAGAAATACTCCATTTCATTAATTAAGTGACATTTCGTGCGTATAAAAATTTATTTTGGATTCATTATACTAGTGAAGGATTCACAATATTTGTTCATCAATTCATATTTTATATAATAATTCAATGGAGTGCCTAAATATATGCAGGTTTCCCAAAGTAGCTAACAGATGGCATCAGGTTTCCAGAATAACTTGAATATTTAAATAATATTTCCATAACAGAGAAACTCATTAATTATAAAAAAGCATTATCTTCTTAATTAAAACGCAATTTCCTAAGAATAATTAATTAACCTCCATAAAGATCATGTATCAAAAATATTTAAGGCTCATTTTCAGCCAAAAATAGTTAGAGATCATGGAAAATATAAACTTAAATAAGTCACTATTTTAATGAACAAATGTAAAGATTGTTGAAATCATTTAAAACTGTCAAATAAATTAGCTATATCAACGACTTTTAAGTTATACATATTTGGCCTATTGTACGATTCAGAAAGGTTGCAGAAGTACAACTTTTTACAAAAAATTTTTTTATTGAGG